CAAGCCTGTACCAGTCAACAAACTCATACCAGAAGCCTGCTTCAAGCCTGTTTCAGCCTGCCTTCAAGCAAGCAAACAAAAGCTTGCCTCAAACCTGTTTCAGACTGCCTAAAACCTGTCACAGAAACCTGCCTCAAGCCTGTAACCAAAACAAGATCAGAAACCTGTTTCAATACCAAGCAATCAAAACACCAACAAACGCCTCAAAACCAAGTTCATCATAGGCAATCCAAACATCAACTATTGCAATTTATCATCAAACATCATCAAACACATATCAAAAGCATATCAGAGCTATCATCATCAAGCAAAAGAGAGGAAGAAAGTCAGAACAATAACAAGTTTTCTCAGAGCCAAGCTCATCACAGTATCAACAAAATCAGAAGAAGAAAAGAAGAGATTCATAAACGGATGCCCTAGGGTTTTCAGAAGCATAGCATCATCATAAAACCAAACAAAGAAGAAAGATACGAGGTTACCAGGAAGGCCAGCAAGCACATCACCAGTCCCACACCTTGGCCGCCTAAGAAGCCTCCTGTCCAAACTCTCCTTCTCCTTTCCAAAAAGTAGAACCAAGGTATAAATTCCTCTTCCCTTTTTTATACACCTCACACAAACACAAATAACATATAAAGGTCAGAACATGTAAAAATTTAATCATGCAAAGAACAAAAACCTAAAACGTATTTGAAGAGAAAATCGTTACCCTTTTTGAATCATCGCCTTGAGCAACCGTGAGGAGGGGAGAGATTGGAGGTGGCGTCCAGTGGCCAGGCATGGAAGGCGTCAGAGGCTCTGACTGAGAAAGACGGAGAAGAAGAAGGGAGCGGCGCCGTTTGTAAAACTGTGTAACCCTATTCTGAGCCAAACCATTTGAAACCCTAACAAACTTTATCACAAACCATTGGGCCTGTCCCTTGAAACAAACCCTTAAGCCCAATTGATTCTGGCACGTACCCCCCTTTGTTTTAATCAGCATTTATTATTTTATTTGGGCCTGCCCCTCATACTAATGCCTAAGCCCATGTAGTTTCCTTTTTTATTTTCCTTAGGTTTATAAATCAATACTATTTTTTTCTATCACTTTACTTTTTTTTTCCTTTTTTTTATATATAACTTAAACTAATATTTTTGTTAAATAAAAATAATACATTAACTTTTTGTACAAAATTTTCTTAATGTTTATTACATTTTACAAAAAATATGTAAATATTAGATTTATTAGGTTAATAGATTTTTGTCTTAAAACTTTTGTTTAATAAATCTTTGTATATATAAAAACATTAGCTAAAATATATAAACAATAGTTTTCTTTAAACTTAAAACATTTTTCTTTTCTTTTCTTTAAAACTCTTGTCTATATAATTAATAAAAACACAAAAATAATAAAATACTTAATAAATACATTAAGTTAACATTTTGATCATTTGTAAATAATCACATACATTTTACAATACTTTTGATTCTCTTTTATTCTTATACTTTGCTATATTTTTTACATTGAGAATGCGATGATTCGATTTGGTTGTAAATAATATTTGGACACTACTATTCTGATGAGACTCATCCCCATTTATAAACATTTGTACCCCCATCCTCGGATACTTATTTGTAATAGCTTAGACTTTAAATTCCCGCAATTTATCCCTTTCTATATACTGTATAGTAATTAGGGTTTGTATGCGAAGATTCAAAATCAACCGCTAGATAAACTAATACAAGATAAATATGCATGAAAATCAACACACCATTCACACTTGCACCTCTAGGGTAATCCCGCTCGTTGCCTTCAAAAATGGGTCATGTTTGCATGTCAAGTACTTTGGCAAAACAAAAACAAACAAAATGATCATAGTCCCTCGATGACGCTATCTTGTTGCCTAAACAAAATGATCATAGTCCCTCAAGAAAATTGCCAAAGACACTTGACACTATTGCTCTCATGGTCTATACGATGACCCGCGCCCGTCCCGTTAACATCCTAACACAAGGTTGTTCACCAAATACAATGGTGAAACAACACTGTTAAAAGGGTTAAAAAAACATGAGAAAGATCTTTTGAGTAAAATAGGGTAGATAGCTCTTAGTTACTTGATCAAACTTGCAAAACATCCTTGCCATTTTTCAAAACACACTCCACAACACAACTTTCAAAACAACTTTCAAAAACATTGAAACATCTTTTCAAAAAGACAAACACCTTTGTAAAACATTCAAATACGAATTGTTACAAAGGTTGCCTAGACAAGGCATCTTTTTCAAAACATTTTCAAAACCACACACACAAAACACCATTTCAAGCAATTGAAAAACAAAGGCAAGTGATCTAAAACAAGTAACTAAGAGCCCATGGATAACCATGGATGAAAAGGGTGCTAGCACCTTCCCTTTTCATAATCTACCCCCCGAACCCACGAAAACATCTCAAAGGTCTTTCCTGTGCTTTTTGACCTTTCCTTAGGATAAATAAAAAGTCGGTGGCGACTCTTGCTCAACCGAACATTTGCAAATATAAACGCAAAACCCAAGTCAGTTCTCCCACCGTATCACACATGATCCTCGTTATGCCTTTTCCCTTCCTTTGTCAAAAGGTTTTCTGGATTACTCTTTGGGTTATCTGTTAGTTGGTGTTTAGCCATCTTCGTAGCCAGACACTCCTTTCTTTCAGCTAGAGGAATTTTAGACTTTTCTCAGAAGGAAAAACACAGAAAATGTAAGTGTGGTAGCTAATAAACAATCTCAAAGTAAGGATACCCTTGGCCATAAACTCACCCAAATACTCGTTCATCTCCCAATCTTCTCCAAGATCTAGAGTAATCATGGCACGAGAACTCATAAGTTCATATTCACTCAACACTTGAACCACCTAATGTTCAATTAAGGGAAGGTAGTCAAAGTCAAAGCGAATAATGATTTTGGAGTCCCCTATCCACAACAGTGGGAAGTGAGGAGTATCATTCACCCTAGTCATGACCATGTAAGCATGAACTCACCCTTTAACTCACGCGAACTTGTCCTTCTAACTTCATTAGGGTTTTAAGTTGGGCTTGAGCAATTTTGTTCCAAATAAGAAGCACAAGGTCACCCAACCTCTTTTGGCGTTAACTTTTGTACCTTAAAAGGAAAAGAATACCACCAATGTTAGTAAAGACTTCCAATCGTCGACATATGATTTTGAACACCCTAACCATGCTCCAGATGTTGAGCAATCACTAAAAACTCGGCTCTGAACAATAAAGGATATTGAACCCCATAAGACATTAATAACGGGGATGTGCAAGTAGAAGTAAGGGGTGTGCGAGCTATCCATGATGGCCATATTCGCCCTCTCATCTTTAGAACATGGATCCAAAATCATATTATTTTCGTGTCCATATTTTGAAATCCTGATCTCTCGCTAAAAGCAACGATTCTTTCCTTAATAGAGTATAGAGACACAAAGTCTTTGATGTTAAATCATTTATCATATGTCTCCTCCGTTGTTTCTTGATAAAAACTAGGGGAGCAAAGGAATTACTACCAAAACTGTCATGGCTCTTAGAACTCCCAAAGGACTAAATGCATGGTAGCATTAAATAACCATTCATTTAACCTTAGTGATCACTATTAAGAGAAAAAGAAACAAAAAATGGAAGAATCATACCTATAAACAAAGTTATGAGATTATGTCTGGAAGAACTAAGAACGAATGCATAGTGCGTTTGTAGAGCTCTTAAGGTGATGGACAAAAACTTTGAGAGATGGAAATGTGGAAAAAGGTTTAAAAGGAAATACTGAAATCCTCTTATAAGAATGGGAAGTTCAATCGTAGGGATAATCAATAGCCTTCCAATAGAAATCCCAACAGTTAAAAAAGGTTCCCATGTCAATGACACACATGGGGAATTAAGACCAAATAATCTTCCATAGACTAAATCATCATTAATCGCATTTAATGACGCATGTGCTTTCACCTCAGCTCACATTTAGGGATTTCTCTCAATTGACGCATGAATCACCTTATTGTCACCTGGAGGTTTGCCTCTTGCTTAAGAGACTCGCCCCATGCTTGAGGGGTTTCCCCGTACTTTAAAGGCACATCGTACATGAAGGACTCGTCCAGGTAAGGAAGGGAAAGCAAACTAAATCACTTAGCCCTTTCCAAGATCTCGTGCTTAAGGAACTCTATATTGGTATATTTGTAAAAGACCTATCAAGAGCGGCGTGGAAAGGGAATGACATAATATGTCGCTCACACAAACTTCTTAGTCGTCCGTTTATTAGATCAAACATCCATAATTTGAATGTGACACTCATTTCTCTAATCGGTCGCCTCTCCAGGGAAACGTGGAGGCGACATAGATAGAATGAGAATCCAATTCACTAGGCAAAACACCATATGCAGAGCCTCTCACAATCCTTGAGTGAGCTTACTCTAATACAATAACAACTCTAAAAACCTCTGACAAGTCTACATAGATAGGATTAGTCACATATTATACTTTTAGTATATATTAAATTAAAAAAATATGTTCTATAAGTTGAAAATTTTGAAAATGGATTCCCTGCCATTACTATTTTTCATGCAATCACGCACTTACGATAAATGTGATCGCCTGATTTTGATCAAATAATTTAAAATAGATATATTTAAATTCTATTTTATAATTTCCAATATCCTATTCCTTAATCACAATCGTCTCCTAATGTGTAACCATTAAGACTGCATACAATGTGACTACTAAAAATTGATGTTGCAAAGTCGAGCCTTGTCACAACAAAATAAAAATAAAATAAAATAATATTACTGCATTAAATTGACTGCAAATATTAGTTATGTACACAACTTTGAAGTTCCATAAGTGCTCTAGGCAGTGAAAAGTGAAAACACAAGAAAAGAGCAAAATTCAAACGATGCAAGCTATATCTATCATCACTCTTTCACATATTTTTCATTTGCTTTTTTTACTTTCTGTGCGTACAAATTCACAGATATACAATTTAAAATGTTCAATTATGCATCATTTTCCTTTCAAACGCAAGAACCTCTTGGGAGAATACATTCTGAAAACTCTATAGGCTGAGATAGTTGATATCATAGCCATTAAAATAGATGCTAAAAAGCAACATAATATGGCCCCTGCAATTTGTTCACAGAATCTTGTAAATTTGTTGCATACCTTCAACCATTGGAATGCGTCTGAGCCACTAAGTGCATATAGAGCTGCTTGAAATAATGCTGCGTTTGTGGCAAATGTCAAGTACACAGCAATCTGCAAAAGAGAAGAAAAAAATAATTATCTAAAATCAGCTAATTATTAACATTTGTTACATAAAAAAAAACAAGAACAAAAGATTAGTAGTTTTTATACTTCTAGACATTATACATTTTCCTTGAACTACTAGTTCACATCTTATAATAAAGAGTTTAGTTCTGGATAGTATGTTTCAAGTAATGATTGTTGTAATAAGAATCCTTTGTCACGTTTTATGGTATCATAAAAGAGTTTTTACTATTATTATATTTTTAATTTTTAGAATACTATAATAATATAAAATCTATTTTGAAAATTTATGAAATTTTTTTAAAACCTTCATTTAATATAAATTTTGAATTCTTTAAATTAGAGAATTTTTAGTGTTATGAATAAAATAAAACCCTACAAAATCCTCTAAACTAAAATCTTTCAATTCTTTCTACTCGATCTTTCTCTTTTTTCAAAGCCTTCTCTTTTGTTTTCCTCCAAACTCACAAACAGACCTTAGATACTTTTACCGCGTTTATGGACATTTAAGTTTTGTTTGAAAATTTGAAAGGAAAGAGAAGGAGGAAATTTGGGAAAAAAACTTTATAAAAAAATAGAGAAAATTTTAATTTTGTTTTAAATTTGTAATTTTGTATAGAATAATAAATTAATGTTTATTATTTATTATATTTTTTAATTTTCAAAATATTATAACAATATAATTTATATTTGAAGAATTTATTAAGTCTTTCAAAATCATTTTTCGAATTTTTTTTTGGAATAACCAAGTATTAAAAAAAAATCGCAAATAACCATGTTTCGAAAAAAATTACGCAAATAACAATGTTTCAGATTACTCCCCAAAGGAGGAGTCATCTCACTTGGCGTCTCCACTATGCATTTAGCCCTAGGCGCCATCTCACTTGGCGCCTCCTCTCTTTTTTAGCCAAGTGAGATGGCGCATGCACTACAAAAGTGAGAGGAGGCGCCATCTCACTTGGCTCCTAGGGCAAAATACTATTTTTTATAAATAATTTGTCTGTTTCTCCGTCATTTCTCACACTTTCTCGCACTGTTTTTTTATTTTTTACTCTGTTATTTGCGTCATGACATCGCCCATGATTTTTACCAGAGATGGTTACGTTATCTTCTCTGCCACAAAACCTGCGATGAAAATGAAATTCTGGCACATTCACTATATGGAGCGTCTGAAGCGGGAGTTGATGCGATGGCTAGATGGAGACATCGCGGAAGGGGGGGGGGGGATTCGAAGGATCCAGCGAAGACGAACAACAACCTCACATGCGACAGGAAGACCTAATTTTTGGTTGGAGGAAGTCAAAACAGACAGCGACGTAATGTTGATGATGCATGGGTCAGATGATATTGTTTTAACAGTTGTAATTTCGTAGACGGAATATCGTGTTTTTTTCTTGTACGCGCAATGTTTATTGTAACAAATACTGTTAACGAAAAACCCTAATGTTTACAACATAATAAAGGAAAGATTTTATGTAATACAATTTTTATGTGGTCGATGCAGTAGCCCGATTCGGACAATTTTTGCGATTGTGACCGACCTGACGACATAAACCACACTTTCTTTCCAGCTTGTCAAGGGAGTCCATTTCGGTTGTGATGCGCTTACTTTTGGGATGATCCTTTTTGTTCCTTCGCATTTGGTCATTGTGCCATACTATTTCGCCGTCGTATGCAGGCCAATAATCTGGTTTTGCTACCAAAGGGAAGCTGTTGTTGTAAATGTTGAGTAACGTTTCAGATTTGTAAATGTGTGACAGAAGTTGTAGCGCGTCTTGATGAGTATAGGCACACGCGGCAATGACATGAGAGCAAGGCATATAAAAGGCTTGAAACTTGCCACAATCGCACCAACGAGAAGGTAGTATAACCCTATATTTTTGTCTTGGCAGGCCCTCGTTGTGGTCGATTGTATCTTTCACAATGAAGTTGTGACTGTGTCGGTCAAACCGTATAACCATATGAGTGTTGGCTTTGGCACTTTCTGCCTTAATGTACTTCATGCAGCTTTTACTCCACAGTTGTCCAGATTGCAACACCGCATTCCATATTTCACCTCTTTTGGCAAACAACGAAGCCATCCTAAAATACGTAGATTTTACCAAAGCAGAGACCGGGAGGTTTCATATGCCTTTGAATACCTCATTCATCGATTCAATTAGATTTGTTTTCATGTGCCCCCATCTTTGGCCATTGTCGTATGACCTAGTATATTTTTCTACCGGAATATTGTCGATCCACCTATCGGCTTCTGGATTTGACAAACGGATCTCGTTGCGGTAATATTTGAATGTAGGTTGTGTCAATGCATATCCCGCATTCATAACCACTTTCCTTAGTGTTTTGTCTTTGATCTCCCTCGTGAAATTTTGGACGATATGTCTAACGCAATAGACATGCGTAGAAGGAGGGTCATGCCAACCGTTTGCAGGATTATCATATGCACTTTCAATGGATGCATGTCTATCCGAGATCAAACAGAGATCTGGTTGAGGAGCCACGTGTGTTTGCAGATTTTTCAGAAAAAAGCTCCAAACACCACCAGTCTCCCCCTCGACTAGGGCAAAGGCAATTGGAAAAATGTTGTTGTTACCATCTTGTGCAACTTCCATCAGTAGCGTGCCTTTGTATTTCCCATACAACCAAGTCCCATCAATTTGTATAATTGGTTTGCATGATGCAAACCCTGTGATGCAAGGTTGAAATGCCCAAAACACTCGACTGAATATTCCATTTCCGTTGAGTTGACTACCATCAGTGGCGTATGCTGGCACTGTTTCCAGAATGTAAACACTACCCGGAGAATAAGTCTTTAGTGCATTCAGGTAGCGAGGAAGTTCTTGGTATGACTCCTCCCAGTTTCCGTATACCTTTTCAATCGCTTTGGTCTTTGCTAACCACACCTTACGGTAAGACAGAGTGTAGTTAAAAATCGTAGTGATATGGGAGATGATGGTTTTCACCTTCAAAGATGGATTGTTGCTGACGAGTGGTAGGATTTCTTGACAAATGATATTGTAATTAAGTTTTTGATGATCCTGTGATTGATTAGAACTGACAAAAGTGTGGGTAGACATGGAACCTATGACCCAACAATCACCTCTTAATCTGTATGATGCAGTGAGCTTGAACATACAATCAGGGTGGACACACTTGATCTTGTACCTTTCTGGGTTTACACGGTCCACCTTAAAATCGACCGAGTTGAGCATGTGGAATTTTTTGATGGCTCTGATACATTCTTCTATGTTACGAAACTTGCCTTTCTCTTTTAAGTTTTCATCCGACTGCATATACGGATTGAAAAATAAATCAGAAGACGGTTCATCTCCGCCCATGTTGAAGTTTGTCATGTGCGGTGGTGGTGTGTAGATCTTGTTTGCAGGAATACCAGGTATCCCATCGTCTTCGAAATCACCATTGACCATTTCGTCAAACTCTAACTCGTCATCTTCTTCTTCTTCATCAACTGCATCTACCTCTGCTTGTTCGGTCTCCAAAGGATCAACCACTTGTGTCACCTCGGGCTCTCGCAGCATAATGTACAACTCAATAGAGTCATACCCAGAATACTCATGACTGGAAAATATATTCTGAAGATCCTCGTCATCTTGAACCTCAACCTTATAAAATATTATTTGGTTGTTACCAAAAAAACTGAATTCTGATAAAATATTTGTGTCACCGGGTCTCGTCCAAGTTTGGCCTCCAATCGTTTTTTGAAGTACAAGAAATTGGCTTTCCTGTTTAAACAAAATCGGATATTGTCTGTGTCTCTAAACAAAAACCCAGAGGTGGGACAAATGTATGTCTCACCGTTGAAATATGCACTGATGACATATTGGGGTGCGGAGGCCATTGCGTATGATTGTTTGAAGGTTTGAAGTTTATGAGTTATTTGAAGGTTTGAAGGTTTGATTATTTGAAGGTTTGAAGGTTTGATTGTTTGAAGGTTTGAAGGTTGGAAGGTTTGAAGGTTTGATTGTTTAAAGGTTTGAAGGTTGGAAGGTTTGAGAAATCAAGTGAATCAGTATTTTGATAAATGTAAGACTAAATAGGTCATACTGAATTCGAATTAACTAAGGCTGTAACCTCTAAGGCTCCTCCCATCATGTCCAATAGTGTTACCTAGGTTGTCACCTAGCCTGCGCCTACTCTGCAACCCATGCCACCTCTTATTTGCCAATGGGGATGACGACACTTTTCATTTTTGTACTCTTTCGCCAAGTCCAATGGCGCCTCCCTTCATGTCCAATCGTGTTACATGCATGCAAAGATGCATTCTCCAAGGCTGCCACCTAGCTTGCGCCTACTCTGCACCTACATTGTAACCTCTAAGGCTCATCCCATCACGTCCAATAGTGTTACATGCATTCAGGGATGCCTTCTCCAAGGCTGTCACCTAGCCTGCGCCTACTCTGCAACCCATGCCACCTCTTATTCGCCAATGGGGATGGCGACACCTTTCATTTTTGTACTCTTTCTCCAAGTCCAATGGCGCCTCCCTTTATGTCCAATCGTGTTACATGCATGCAGAGATGCATTCTCCAAGGCTGTCATCTAGCTTGCGCCTACTCTGCACCTACACTGTAACCTCTAAGGCTCATCCTATCACGTCCAATAGTGTTACATACATTCAGGGATGCCTTCTCCAAGGCTGTCACCTACCCTACGCCTACTCTGCAACCCATGCCACCTCTTATTCGCCAATGGGGATGGCGACACCTTTCATTTTTGTACTCTTTCTCCAAGTCCAATGGCGCCTCCCTTCATGTCCAATCGTGTTACATGCATGTAGAGATGCATTCTCCAAGGCTGCCATATAGTCTGCGCCTACACTGCAAAAGTGACACTTATCATGTATGCATGCACCAGCTACCACCTCACTTACTCTATAAATACAGAGCATAACATACTTCTCTTTCACCCACAATCGTCTCACTCTCTGCTACAAACTCTTTCATAATCCCTTACAATTTCAAACTCTTTCACAATCTCAGGCATTTTCAACAATGGCTTTTCTCACAATGGGCGATTCTCACAGAGGCACAAGGGACAACATTGCAGCATTTGTAAGTTTCTTTTATAGTTATACATTTTTCATACTTCCGGTAATGCTTTGTTCATCTTACCTACTCTTACACCTTTTACATTTTTAACTCAGGATACCAAAAGATTCAGAATCTGGTCTCACAACTACCTTGCTCCCGACCCATTGATCGTACCATATCTGGAATATGCAGGTTTCGGACATGTTATAAAGATCTCCAACTGCATAATTGATTCAAAGTTCATACTTGCAATGTTGGAAAGGTGGAGACCAGAGACCCATACATTTCACCTACCAATAGGTGAATGTATCGTCACGCTAGAGGACGTGCACATGTTACTAGGTATCCCTGTCGACGGTAAGGCCGTTAACTGGTCAGTTCAACAACCCAATTCTCCGTGTGAAGAATTGTTGGGCAGGGATATGGTTGAAGGTGGTGGTGCGAGAGGTCAGGGT